GGACCACAAGATCATGACCTGAGCTGAAGTCGGACACTTAACCGACTGAGCCACCCAGGCGCCCCTAAAAATCTTTTTCTTTGAAGAAAACTGGTGCTATCTTGATAGGAAAAAAATTGTATCGTTTGTATTTTATATTTCTCCAAATTCCAAGGAGGCGAAATTTTCTTCATTTTTACTAGTTGTCAGCATTCTGCAAAATTTCTGTTTATATCCCTTCGCTTGCCCACGTATCTACTGAGTTTCAGGTTTCTTAGTGATTTGTAACTGCTTTTTACATATGAAGGCCATCGATTCCCTGTCTTATTTGTGGCCATCTTTCTCCCCTCATTCGCTGTGCATTTTACTTATTTCACTTTTTAAAAGTGTCGACCGTTTTAATAACGTAGCCACACTTTGGATTTTTACAAAATCTCTTCGACTGCTCTAATACTGAAATAATCATTTAAAAAAGGGAGGGGGGGAGGCGGAGGGAGTGAGGAAGAAGGAGAGAGAGAGGAGACGAGGTGGAAGACGAGCAAACCTAGAAAGAGGAAAAGAGAGCAGAAGGAAAAGGGGAAAGGGGGTGGGAAGTCTGGCCAGAGCCAGAAATACAATCAGCCCCGGGACCCTCGTCGTAGGGCTCCACCGGATGGAGGCATCTGGAACCCTGGAACTTTCTTGCTGTTCTGACACAACTTGACCGTATCGTGTCCCCAGGGGAGAATGCGAGCGTGACCCGCTTTGGTCCTTAAATTGGAAAGGAGCCACCGCTCTGGCCTCCTGACAAACGGAGTCTTCACTATTGGGTTGGGGGGCCATTCAAGGACCCCGTGAGAAGGACGCGAGGGAGCAGAGGCACGAGGGAGGCCTCTGATTTCTCACTGTGGGGGTGAGGCGGGTGGGAACCCCTCTGAGACTTTCCTTTCTGGGATTGATCCACTGCGGTGGGCACACACAGGGTCCGCCAAGAAGACTTGGGGGTGAAGGGCCGGCTAGGTCTCCTCAACCTGCCCCAAATGTCTAGAACTTAAGGAACGCACTGCCGAGTTCGCTCTCGGGGCCCTAAGACCTCGCGGGTGCTCAGCCCTTGGGTACCACCTTGAAATGCTTCCCAGAGCTCAGGAGCCATCTTGGAATGGGTCCCCACAATTTGGGTGCCATCTTGGAGAGAATGGCTGCCCGGCCCTTGGGTGCCATTCTGGGATGGCTACCCACGACCCAGGGGCCATCTCGGAGTTGCACA